TTTAGGGTTTCAGGGTTTCAGGATTGGGGTTAGGGGTTCAGGGTTTTAGGATTTGGGGTTTAGGGTTTCAGGGTTTTAGGATTTGGGGTTTAAGGTTTTAGGGTTTAAGGGCCTTAGGGTTTAGGGTTTGGGTTAGTAGGGAATACGGGAATGCATATATAGGTTTGGGGGTGAGGGTTTAGGGCTTAGGGTTAGCAGGGAATCTCGGAATGTATTAAATAGGGACTATAGGGGATTTATCCCCTTGTTCCCTACTGAGAACCGGTAAGGAAAGCGGACATTCCTGGAAAGTCTGTACTCTTCGCCCTAAACCCTAAACCCTAAACCCTAAACAGCATGGCCTAGTTAGGCTAGGTCTCCCTAAACCCTAAACCCCAACACTAGTGTTCAGTACACCTTTCTGCTGTCGCTGCAACTTAAGCAGACTTAAGCCCCGTGCCATCTCTGCCGGTTGGCCTGAATGCAGTGTTGAGTTCTTGTAGCCAAAAGTTGGAAGAACTCATTGCTGCATGTCACCGCGGGTTTAGGGTTTAGGGTTTAAGTGTGACAAAGCGCAGATTCGGAAGAGGCCCGCATAGATTGGATGATGCTGAGCATTTGTCGAAACAATAGTTTTTTTGGCATTCGGTCCGTCTGCTGGAGACCCTAAACCCTAGACCCTAAACCACTAAAACCCTAAAACCCTAAACCCGAAAAGGAGTAGCAGCTTAGGCGATTCTCATGAAGATCCTGGACAAGGATTTGAACAAGGAGGAGTGGGGAGCTTGTTACAGCTGGGTAAGAATTATAGAGGGTTTAGGGTTCAGGGTTTAGGGTTATAGTTATAGTTATATCAATATGGGGTTGTAGGCTCTAGGGTTTAGCGGTTTAGCGTTCAGGCTTTAGGGTTGTCATGGAAAAGGAAATGGACACTACTACAGTACAATAGGGTACATATAGGGTTATATATCGATATTGGGAAAGAACATGGAAATTACGATGTAATTTTGTTGGAAAGCAAGCCTTCACGACTTTTGCAGCTGAGAAAGTGGTTTGCTCCTGGGGTGGTTGAGGTCCATCGACTGGGTGCATCAGTACCTGCGAGACAAAGCCAAGGAAATGGATGATGGAAAGGCCATGTGCAGACTTTGACGACAAGACCTTTTTGCATTATCACTATCAGTACTCTGACTATTCTGACAATTATCCTCATATTGCTACCATCACTGTTATTACTATTGTTACTCTAGGTGCCCTTGGAGAAGTTTGTGATCACAAAGGGCCTCACCAAGGATCCCAAGGATGCATTGCACTTCAGCCAGAGTCAGCAGGGTCGCTGTTAAGGAACTTGAATTAAGTTACTATAATGGGTATAATGGGATAATGGAAAATAAAATGGAAACTGCTATAATATACTAGGGTTATATTGGGGTTATAATACCTTTTTATGGTAGCTTCATGTAAGTTCCTTAGCAGCTGCTAAGTTAGTCGCAGATCTGAGACATGACATAGTGCTTCAGGACTACCCGGACGCTAAGAAGCAGCCGCATGTCCAGGCAAGCTTTATAGGCTGCTGTGGGGACAGTCAGGGTGTCAGTGCTAATGGCGTTTCAAGAGTGCAATAGCAATATAACAATGAGATAGGAATGACTTAATAGTAATATAACAGCTATCATTAGTCATAACAGTAATCATTCAAAGGTGTTTTGAGGTATCCTAGGGACTGGCTTCATCGACGCGAGACCACAACCCAACCCCCTGACCCGCCCAGCAGTCGGTCCTGCGGGCTAAAGAAATTTTGTTTTTTCCCAAAATAGAGGGACCCCAATATAGACCCCCAGATACTATAACCCCTGTTATGGGGACCCACTAAATGGTACCCGTAATTTGGGAATGCCCCACTTTGATGTCAGCTAATGCGGAGTCAGCCAAGGCTAAGGAGATTTTTCTTGCGCTTGTTCCTGGTGTGTCCTCTTCTGTTAGGAGCAGAGCATTTTGAAGTTGTTGGGTATTCAGAGTCTGATTAAATGCGGGCGTGGCGAGCATGTCAGACGATCAGAATACCAGAGATGAAGACTCATTAGGACATGTTGGGTGCACAAGGTGAAAGAGGTAGACCAAGTGTAACTTTTCAAAGATAGATATGAGCCACAGTCGAAGCTCCTTAACGGGGTTTATACAGGAGCTGTGATAGGGGTCAGTCAGGGGGATACTAGTAGTTTAGACCCTATACCTTAAATCCTGTACTAGTGGTTATTAAGGGGGATGCTAGGACTTAAGACCCCGAACCCTAAATCCTAATCCCTAAACCCTGTACTAGTGGTTATTCAGGGGGATACTAGGAGTTTAGACCCTAAACCCTAAATCCTATACTAGTGGTTATTAAGGGAGATGCCTGGAGTTTAGACCCTAAACCCTAAATCCTAATCCCTAAACCCTAAACCCTAAATTCAAGAGCTCATATTAGCAACTTGATCTCGTTGCTTGTTGAGGTGGCGCTACGATTGATGTCACGGGGTAAGCCTGTCAGCTTCCCAGATGCTCAGTTTAGGGTTTTTTGGTTTAAGGGTTTAAGGGTTAAAGGGTTTAGGGCTCAGGGTTTAGGGGTCAGGGTTTAGGGTTTAAGGGTTTAGGGTTTAAGGGTTCAAGATTAAATAGTTCAGGGTTTAGGGTTTAAGAGTTTAGGGTTTAGGGTCTGCCATGCATGGCTAGCAACATCCTTCAGGTTCGACCTGGGCAGGAGATTGGCTATGTCGTGTGCGCAGGACGGCATAGCATAGTAACATAACAGCAATATTCATAGAGTTGGGTTTAGGGTTTAGGGTTTAGGGTTTAGGGTTTAGTGTTAGAGTAATCATATTAGTAATGGAGATAATAGTAGTAATAGTAGTAATAGTAATGACAGTAATACTAGTAATAAAGGTAATGATAGCAAAAATAGTCATAACAGTAATAATAGTCATCATAGTAAATAATGGCAATGATAGTAATAATAGTAATAATAGTATCACAAAAAAAACATTAAGCATAGTAAGCATAGTAGTATTAGTATTATAGTACCAATAGTAATCATGGCAACAATACTAGCGTCAGTACTATGTGGGGGATTGTCAAAATTATGGTCCCTTTTTGGGTCCCCTAAATTAGGCCCCGTATTAGGCCCCGTATTATAGTAGGACCCAAAAAGGGACCATAATTTTGACAATCCCACATGTAGCAATATAAAGCTGTCAGCATGTGTTCTGGCCTGGGGGATGGGGCCGTGGCTGGGCTGCTGCTAAGGAGCTAAGTTTAAGTCACTATATTCAAAAAACAGTATTACTCGCCATATATACCCATTATGGTAACTTATCCCTCAACCCTGAACATTCATTTATTCTGGTGACTTAACTTAGGTTCCTTAACAGCAACCCAGATGAGGAGGAGAAGGCGACGAGGGCAAACCGTCCTTGCTGGCGGAGCGCGCGCGAGACCCGCACGAGATGGAGCTGGACGCTAGCCGGTAGGGTTTAGGGTTTAGGGTATTAGGGTTTCGGGTTTAGGGTACGGATTTCCTGGCACAGAGTGATGGATTATAAGCCCAGCTTCCATTTCAGTTTCCATTGGCTTTTCCCTTTGAGGATCGATTATTGGCCTCTGTCCCTAAACCTCAAATATGCCTATGCATCCTTGTCCGCGATTTGCTTCAGGACCCGAACTTGAAGCTAGACATGGCGTGGTACAAGAAGCAGCAGGCTCGTCTGGATGGCGGCAGAGGCTTTGGGGCGTGTTGTGTGGAAACAGGTGCATCCCATCATTGCCCGGATACTTGCTGTCGTGGAGGGCACAAGCCCTGCCAAAATCGCCGAGTACTTAGGCCATGGCGGATTGCAAAGCATGCTTGAACTGACTAGAGTCAACAGTGATACGACGCATAGGAAGATGGTGAGCTGCAAGAGAAAGTTTTAACTATTATTCCTTTAAGTATCACTGTTACTATTGTTCCTCTAAAATGCTATACTTACTACTTTCGAAAATACTACGAGCTTGAACATCAGGAAGAGATTGGCACCTAGCAAGGATTGTTAATAGGTTTTCGCTCAGCAATTACTACCACCATTGTTTTTTTTCACATGCTGTTAGTACAATTTTCAGAGCTGTTAGTATTCTTGTTATACTGGTTTCTGAGTTAAGGAGCCATAGTCTTAACTCCTTAAGCGAGTGATATACGGGAGTACTGTAGGGGTTATTAAGGGGGATACTGGGAGTTTAGACCATAGCTCATATGCCTATTTATGGTTGCTATTGTTTGGCGAGAGAAGCAAAGACCAGAAGGAGATGCCGCGGACGTGTCAAACCGTACCCACTTGCCCTGCTTCTAGCATAGGGTTTGGATTTGGGTTTAGGGTTTAGGGTCAGGCAGTAACACGACGCGCTAGATAATTCGAATGGTGTATGTGGTGGTTCGCCAAAATAGGGGGATCCCAACATAGATGGCGGTGGGGCACCTGGTAGCACAACAACGATCTCCCCGTGCTAACCCCTAAACCCAAAAACCCTTCCTTTTTGCGATCTCTGCCGGCCCGGGCTCCGACTTTGCAGGTTTGTTTGATCTTCATCCCTAGTCCGTATAAAATCCCTACCATCCCTACATAACCCCTAATCCATGTGGCGTAGGCATAAAACATAATTTGATAAGGCATCAAGAAAAATTGCCAAGCCTCAACAAATAATTTGCCAAGCATCCAAAAATAATTTGAGCTGTAGTCTCTTTCCAGCTGTTGTTCTTATCGGTATTGCTAGTATATGTAATATCCGCATCCGTATTGTGAGTACTACTATTCCCCATTCACTTTGTTCTTGCAAATAGATAGTACAGTCATCCTCAAGTTTTTTCTTCATGCTTATCACAAATCATTTTTTGATGCCGTGCGCCAGTTGGTCAAAGGTTTTCTTTTGTTTTTTAAGGTCAACAGCTTCTTGATGCTTATCACTTTGTTTTCTTGATGCGTCACCCAATCCATGTCATCATTTTATACAACCTGCATATCATCCCCGTAAGCTCATATGTATGTATGTATGTATGTATGTATGTATGTATGTATACACATACGTCTGTATGTATCTCGATGCCCCTCTGTTTTATATGCCTATGTCATTATCTCGATGCCCCTCTTTAAATTACGTGTTTTGATGCTCCAAGGTTGAAACCATGTGTACGCTTAAGTGTCCCTAGAATCCCTCCAAAGCCTGAGGGCCCATTTTAGAGGTACACTGCCTCCAGCTTGCATTGCTCTGTTGGCAGGCATGGACACCTCGAGCTTCCAGCAGCAGGCAATTCTGCGTGGGCATGGTCATGTTTTTCAACGCACACCCTGAACCGTAGACCTTAGGTGGACCCCCCACCTGTGATAGTGGGATAATAGGAATATAAGAGGACCCTAATATAGTTACTAGTATCCCTTATAGTCACTATTACCCTCCTAAAGTAGACCCCTATCATCAAGAGCAGCCTCCGGTGACACCCCGCTCTGCTGACACCTGTGCATAGTGTCTAGGGTTTGGGGTTTAGGCACCTCCGCTGACATGACTGTTTGCAGGTAGTCTCGCATGAAGACGGTGTGGACCTCAGATGCATACGTTCCAGTGATAGTAGGTTTACATCCCTTGGTTCTTTTGGGCCCCCCGTTTTGAAAAACTTCCAAATGATTCCTGGTGGTATCTGGGGCCAGGTGAAGACTTGGATTTGGCATCGCAGGCCTGTGCACTGTTCTGCAAGTTTCATGTTGTACTGTGGCACGGGGTGGGGAAATCAGTGATTCCGCTATAGTTTCTCTTATAGATGACGCTCGTCATTCGCGGTATACCTGCCAATTGTGGCATGCTGGCTAAGTGCAGTGCCGCCTCAGAGGCTGTTGCAGGAGCAGATGGAGCAGCAACGTGATTGATACTAAAAGTCTTGCATGACCTTAGAAAACAAAACTCGCCTAATTCCCAAAACATAAGGACCCTACGAGTAGTATCAAACCTAAACCCTAAACTCTAAACCCTCAACTTCAAACCCTAAACCCTAAACCCCTATGTGCGGCGTCCGAGCTATAGTCTAAACTCCTTAAAGGGGGTAGTACAGGGGTTTAGGATTTAGGGTCTAAACTCCTTAAAGGGGGTCATATCGGGTTTTAGGGTTTCCGATTTAGGGTTTAGGGTCTAAAATCCTTGAAGCGGGTTATATAGGGGATTATATAGGAATATAGGGGAGTACTATGAGGGATATGCAGTGGGACGCTAGCAGTGTAGACTATGGCTCATACCATGCAGAATAAAGTGTAAAATCAAACAGCAAACGAAATGAAAGCTGGGGGCTTATATGACTCTAAGGGGTTGAGGGAAGGTCCCGGGTTCAACAGCTCAAAGTCAAGAAGCCAGCAAACCACTTCCGGATTAAAAACTTGGCTGTGGTGCCTTTGGAGGGGAGTAGGAATACGTCTCTAATCTGCAAATCTTGAGGCCTGTAGGCCTTGGCTAATTCCAACTTGCCTGTCTGCAGTAAAGAAATTGTATCTGGTGTGCAATGGAAATTTACCGCTCTTACTCTAACACTTCTTACTCTTGTTACTCTTCTTACGACACTTGCGACTCTTTGGACTCTTACGACTCTTGCGACGCTTTCGACTCTTACGACTCTGACGCCTCTTACGACTCTTATTACGACGACGACGACGGCGACGACGACAACAACAACAACAACAACTACTAGTACTACTACTAGTACTACTACTACTACTACTACGACGACGACGACGACTACTACGACGACTACGACGACTACGACGACTACGACGACTACGACGACTACGACGACTACGACTACTACGACTATCCTACGACTACTACGACTACGACTAGTAGTAGTAGTAGTAGTACTACTACTACTACGACTACGACTACGACTACCACTACCACTACCACTACCACTACCACTACCACTACCACTACCTACCATTACCAGTATTTCGTGATTGCTGGTAGGCCTTTGGCGATCCAAGTGCCATCCTGGCTGGAGTCTGAGTTACGAACATCTCCGCTGACGCTGCGCAGGGTTTAGGGTTTGAGGTTAGTAGGGAAGAACAGAATATGGTATGCAGGGATCATATAGGGCCATAGGGATTATATTCCTGTATTCCCTACTAACAACCACTAAGGCATAGATGACAAACTGCCGGTGTTTCAGATTTGTCATGTTAATGCTGGGTGGGGGAAGACCTACTTTCAGGACCGCACCAAGCGCTACCAGAACTTTATCTCCTTGCTTGATGGCGCCAAGTGCAAGAAGTGCACATCCCTCAGCAATCTACAACAAAGATTCAAAGAGAGAGAGAGAGAGAGTCAGAGAGAGAGCGAGAGAAACAGAGCGAGAGAGAAAGTCCATCTTGCGTCAGTGCCAGGCGGTGGAACGACTCTCTGGCAGCAGTTGTGGCCTTAATAACCTCCTCGTAGCTCTTCTCCCTGCTGCTTAGCAGGGAATGGATCCCTATAGTAATCCCTATAATCCCCAATAACAGTCCCTGTATTGCCTTAACCCCCTTCCCTAGGAAGCACCAGGGGTCTTTCTGTCAATTCATTAGCTGGTCCCTGCTGAGGCTGCTGACACCACCTCAGCCTGAAGATGGAAGCCAGGCAAGCTGCTGGCACTTGGTTATATAGGGGTTATCTAGGGGCTATATAGGGTTTATATAGGGTTTATATAGGTATTATATGGGGCTTGTATAGGGGGTATACAGGGGTTATAGGGGTTATATAGGGATAATGGAAAAGAACATGGAAGCTGCTATTTAGGGTTAGGGGTGTTCCCAAAATTATGGGTCTCTTTGGGTTACATGGATTATAGTAAAGCACTTACAGTAATATTGGGAGGTACCAAAAAGGGACCTTATTTTTTGAGAACTACCCACTTAGCAGGCACTTTACAGCCTGGTAGGAGAGTAATATTATGACTATGATTATTGCTGTTCCTATTACTATTACCATTACTATTACCATTACTATAACTATTACTAGTACTGTTACTAGTACTATGTTCTTGGCATCCTGGACCTGGCAGGCATGCTTGCCCTTTACCTGCAAGGCTTGCAAAGCTCAGGCGTGGATCCGCTCCTTAGGAGGATGAGAGCCAAACAATCATAATAAAGATAATTACAGGCATAATAGCAGTAATAGTCATAACAATAGTAATAGTAAGACTTTTAGTAAAATGGAGGAGTTCTCCTCAACAGGGACGAGGTGGACGCTGGGGGGGTCCAGGGTCTCCTCTGCGAGCCTGAGCCTCCGACGGCCTCTGCAAGGACCCCCCCCCTTTATTACCTCCACCTCTCCAAGTCTTTCAGCCCCACGCCCTCCCACCCCTCCCAACATCTCCGAGGCTTTCCAACAACCCTCACACAGGTCCCAAGAAATGTCCAGGGCCTCCAGGGCTCGTACTTCATGATGAGCAACTTCAAATTTCCGCGTTGGACATTGTCCAACTTGGCCGGAATGTCTGTTCGAACCCTTTTTAGGCGTTTCTCGCCTCTTGTCTATAGAAATGTTGAAAGACAGCCTAACATCCAAATGAAAAGGTGTTGTTGGCCAAGATGGACCTAACTGAGTTTAGGTCCTAAACCCTAAAAGGAGTAGGTTTGGGTGGCTTGGCCGCCTTCGACGGCGTGAGGTGGGTGAATGTGTGAGATGGCCTACACTCAGGCCATGGCGGCACCTCGCATGCAGCCATGTACATGAGGGATCATTGACATCTAATCATCACCTCTTGCACGGTACTTGACAGCAAGCCCTAAAACCCTAAACCCTAGATCCCTAAACCCTAAACCTTACTATAGTAACAGATAGAACTGGCTCTCTCACCAGGTTCAGCCGGAAGTTGCTCGGAATCAATGGCATTTGCAGCTCAGGCTCCGCGCATTGCTATCACTATAATATTACATTAAGGGTTTAGGGTTTAAGGGGTGTAGGTTTTTTTGGGATTTAGGGTTTAAGGCATTTAGGGTTTAAGGGATTTAGGGTTTAAGGGATTTAGGGTTTAAGGGTTTAGGGGTTTAGGGGTTGAGGGGCTTATTAACATTATGAATATGATAAATAGTATTATTTTCATCATTATTACTATTGTTGATGTTATTCTTACAGTAAATATCAGTATTATTCTCACTATTACTAGCATCAACATTATTGTTATTGTTATTGTTATTGTTACTTTGTTTCAGTGCAGCAAACTGCTTGAACCAAACCCGTAGTATCCTCCTTAATAAGCCCCATAGTAGTCCGCTATATAACCGCCTGTAAGGAGTTTAGAGTCTACTTCGCAGGAACTTGGTGAAGAAGCACTGTGAAGGCCATGCTGCTATGCCAGCTTGCAGCATGAATCATCTGCCTGCACACTGAGGGTTTAGGGTTCAGGGTTTAGGGTAGAGGGTTTAGGGCTTAGGGTATAGGGGTTACAGAGAAGTCATATGGGGGTTACATAGTGCTTATCTGGGGTATATAGGGTTATATAGGGCTTATAGGTGAGTAGTATTCTCTTTGGGGATACTATGGTACCCAATATAGAGAAAGGTCACATTTTTCTTTTGGGTATAGTATCTTATATACAGAATATAATTTTATTTGGTTCAACCACCAAAAATAGCACGACTCATGTGAGCTACAGTCTAAATTTCTTAAAGGGGGTTATATAGGGGATGATATTGGGGACTACTGTAAGGGTTAGTAAGGGGGATACTAGGAGCTTAGATTATAGCTCATGTAACGATGCCTCTAACCTTGAACTCATAAAATTGTTTGGCTTGCAGTGCTTTCCATGTTTTTGTGGCTGTCGGGAGGATGGGTGCAGCCTGCTGATCACACAGCCGGCACTGAGACATGACTGACATGGCGATTCTGCCAAAACCTGTGTTCTGCAGCGCACTTGGCCCCTTACCAAGGAGAAGACAAGGAGAGCAACCACTGGCGAAAATCTTTTCGGTGAGATGACAGCTTCAGACTCGGCGGTTATATTGGGATTATATTAGGATAATGGA